GGTTTACGTGTTCTTTTGAGGTGCAGATAGACCCGCTGGCCTGTTTTCTGGTAATGCTTTTCCACATACTGCTTCCCAAAGCCCAGGAACGTGTTCATGCAGATATATAAGCCACCATCAGACTCCTGGAAGGAAGGGGAGAGAAAAACTGAAGGGAGACAGCAAAGAATGCCATTCCAACAGTTAGGATAGAAGGTACCTCTTGGAATGCTATCAACTACTGATTAAATAATGGCAATTGTTCATCACTATATATCAGTTATTTAGTAACTGATCTGAACTAAGCTGGCAAGCCCTGCTCTGGCTGTCCCAGGATAGGTGCTCCTATAGGGTGATGTACAGGTAAACCCAGATGACTCCTCACACACAGCAGGATGATACCCAACCTGTGATGTCTGAGCAAGATCCCCAGGAGGGTGAGGAGGATGCCCCACCAGAGGCCTGCAGCATGCATCATGCACACAGTCAGAACGTGGCATAACCACTCCCAGTGCAGCTGTGCCACCCTGCCTGCAGGCACAGCTCCCGTGGCCATGGGGAGCTCTGCCAGGCCACAGCACAGGGAAGGCCAGCACACCACTGCTTGTTTTCACTGTTGCACGCAAAAGCTTGTGAGGAACTCTGTACTGGCTACAGGTGAGCCCTGCTCACCCCAGAAGCACGAAGACACCTCAGCAAAGATACCGGCCTTAAGCCAAAGCGGGCAGGGATCCAAATGCAGAGAGTAGGCAGACAGGGCAAGAGCACAGGGACTGGCACTGCGCGGGGCTCAGCAGGGAAGCCGGGCCAGGGGGTGGGCTTTTGTTTCCCAAAGAGCCTCCACCTTCGGAGGGCAGCGCCTTTCTCCCGAGGGCTCCGGCACATCCCCTGCGGAGGAGACCGAGGGGCACTCGCCCCTCCCTAGGCCCACCCAGGCCGGCTCGGGAAAGAGGCGCGGGGACGCCGGCACCGGTGTGGAGAGGGCCGCGGAGACGCCCACTGCCATCTTAGTGACACAGCACCGGCTCGCCCCCGCCCGCGGGGCCGCGTGACGCCGCCAGGCCAACGGGCAGCGCCCCCCGCCCGACTACAGCCCCCGGCATACTCCGCGGCGGGCGAGGGGCCGACGAGCTGCCCACGCCCGCTCCGGCCGGGTACTACAGCCCCCAGCGCTCCGCGGCCGGGAGGGGTGCGCCGCGAGGCACGTCGGGGGCTGTAGTCTCGGACGGCCCTGCGCCGCACCGGGCCGCACACGGCCCCGGCAGCCGGGGAACCACAAATCCCATGGCGCCCCGCGCGGGCGGCACCCCCGGCGCCCGGGTGGGCTGAGAACGGGTGGGAGCGGGGAGCAGCCCGGCCGGCCGCGGAGGTCGGCCTCGGGGCGAGCTTACCGGTGTGTCGAAGGAGAAGGCGCACTCGTCCTTGTGGACCCGGTCGCCGGCCTTAGGCACCCGGATGGACGGCAACACCGAGAGCAGCGCTTCGCTCAGCTCCGCCATGACAGCGGCTCACTGCAGCTCCGCCCGCGGCCCCACCCTGACCAATCGCAGTCCAGCGTGCTCGTAAGGTCTCTGGCCAATCCCGTGCCGCGCGGGCACGCCCGTAACGTGGCCTGGAGACGGTTGCCCCGCCCACCTGCCCCTCGAGCCGGCCGTCTCGGCCAATCGAAGCCGCCCTTCAGCCGTCACGGGCGGCCCTGCCGAGTTCCTCAGCCAATGGCGTCGCGGCGTGGGGCGGAGTCTCACGCAGATCGACAGAAGGCAGGAGGCGGAGCGGGGGCGGGCACGGGGCGGGATCGGAGGCGGGGCCCTATTCCGGGCGGGGACCAATGGGGCGGCGCCACCGCGGCCGAGCGGGAGATTTGAATCGCGGCAGCGCCGCCGGCTGGGGACCGCGCGGCTCCACGCCCGCCACTATGGGCGCCTCGGGCAGTGCTCCTACCACTCCCATGCCCGGTCCCCTCCGCAACCGCCACCTGGCTCACGTTAGCGATCCGCGCTCCCCGAGTGCCGGCATCCTGCGCACCCCCATTGAGGTACAGCGTTTCCCCCTTTCCTCCCTCCTCACGGCTCTCCGCGGCCCCTCAGCGCCCGCTGTCCTCCTGCAGGTGGTGAGCTCCCCCGCAGGCAGCCCCCAGCCCGGGCCTGCCCAGGCAGGCGCTCAGGACGCCGACCCACGCTCGCCGACGCCCGGCATATCCCGCACGCCCATGAAGGACACGCAGAGCGGTGAGTGCCGGGCCGCCTCCCCGGGGCCTATTCCCGGTGTGGGCTGAGCGCTGTCTCTTCCTCCGCAGACAGCGTGGAGTGCCTGGTCAGGCAGCTCGGAGAGGTCTTCGCCGTCGACACCGCGCCCCCGGAGCCTCCACCACCCGCAGCAGAGCGCGCGTGTGAAGAGCCAGCCCTGCGGGGCGCCGCGGAGCTGCAGCCCGACAGGGGCCCCGAGCCCGGCTGCGAGGCGACCCTGAGGCCGCACCGCTGTGCCGGGCCCGGCCTGGCCTCTGGTGAGCCCCTTGGGGGTGGCTGAGGGGCTGTGTGGGGCGGGTGTGTGCTGGAGCAAGCGGTCGGTCTCCAACGGTTCTTCCAGCTGACAGGCTGGGGACTGCTTCTCTAAATGAGTTCTCTCAGGGATTGAAGAGTTACACCCCAGAGGAGGGTGCACAGAGGACAGAGCCAGGCTCTTATCAGCGTTGCCCACTGTCAGGACTAGAAGCAATGGGCACGAACCAGAGAGTTCATGAGAGAGAACAGTAGGGTTCTCTCTGAACACCAGGCAGCGCTTCTGTGCTGTGCTGGTGATGGTGCCCTGGCATGGGTTGCCCACAGGCTCTGGGCTCTCTCTGGAGATCTCTAATACCCACCCAATTGTGGTCCTTGGCACTCAGCCCTCAGTGTCCCTGCTGGAGCAGAGCATGGTCAGATAGATCCAGAGGTCCCTGCCAGCCTCTGCCTTTGTCTCGTTCTGATCCTCTTACCTTCTGAATAACATGTATGAGATCATATGTCAGGAAGCACGTAAAATCCAGGACCATTTAGCCTTGTTGTGACACACTGACTTGTTTCCTTTGCTTCTCAGTGAACAAGCATGCAAGACGCAAGGCCAGCAACAAGATCTTGGCAACCTCTGGTGGGATTGTCCGTTCTCCCTTCAGTATCCTACAAGACGATAATTCCCCCAGTGCTCCTGTCCAACGTCAGGTAAATCTCACTGCTTCATACTGTGGGAGGGGAAGGGGCTGAAATAACAAATCTCTCCATTTTTTTTTTTTTTTGTATAGCCACAGGCTGGAATGATGGTCTCCCAAACCTGTAGAGCCTGGTGATATCCTGAGAATGCTTATATGGGATGATCTTATGCCTAGATCCCTCTCAAATCTTGTTCCATATCTGTATTCCCAACTCTATCACAATATTACTCCCTTCCAGTGTATCCTCTATTTTCTATGAAAATCCTGTACTCTTACATTAGAGTGCCAGATATTCCGTCAAAGGTGGATGGCCTGAAAATGGCTTACGTATTTTACTGAGAGTTGAATAACTCAGTTTGTATTTTACAATCATTTTTTTCCTTCTGTAGGTTAAGAAGCACATACTGGGGGAGAACCCTGGGGAGAAGGATGTGGCAGTGGATCTGAGCAGGAACCTCAAAGCTGGGAACTGTGCTTGGAGTGATTTAAACAAAGAAAACCAACAGTGTCCTTTTGTGGAGAACTAGAGATTTCTTTTCCAAAAATCTTCCTGTAATTCTCTTTTCAGAGAGTCCTCTAGGACTGGGAAATCCTGAAATCAACTAAGACTCCAGACTCATGATTTATCTTCTCCTTTCTCTGTTGGGAAGATAATACTCTTAACCTTATGTATATTCATATACGTACAGGCTTTGGTTCTCCGTAGGCTGTACTGACTGTATAGTTCTTATAGTAAATAAATTAATCTTAAAACTTAGCTGGTGTTTGATACTCTGTATCTGAGGTGACAGTAGGAGCAATCTGCTTGTCCAGTATGTGTGTCTTCTTTTATTCTAAGTTTAAGGGACTAATATGTCAGCTTTCCATTAGCTCTGATGCTCAGCTGTCTCCTGAGCTGAGAGATTGAAGTTGTGACAGATCTCCAAGGCTTGCAGGGATATAATTTCAGTGCCCCGTTCTAACTCAGAGCAGTGAACTTCAGGACAAATAGGGCTATTCTCAACAAAACAACAGAGGAACATGTTCCTTGTGGACTTAAAAGAATACATTCTTTAGAGAGAGAATCAAGAGAGTGTTCACGGGAGAAGAGCGGCTCTGGAAATAACAGTCCGTGCTGCTTATGTCAGCTTTCTTTATTTGCCTGGACTATGGAGACCTAGAACAGACATGAAAGTGGTGGCTGATGGCTACTGGTTAGACAGGGTCACTGCACAATATAGGAATGAGGCAAAAAGAGAAGAAACAGCAAGAAGCAAACAAGAATAAATAAAACATTCTCTGGTAGTCTGGAAGGTCTGAGGGCTATTTTTTTTCCCCCATTTATCCATAGATAAGTCTTAAGTTTTTCCCAATAGAAAGTGAGCCCAAGTTACACTACCTGCTTGGTAAGGGTTGCATGTTATAAATCTCAAGCCTAGTATATCTCTGAGGCTGCCTGCAGAAGTATGACAGCCCCACAGAAGCTAGGTATAGTTAAATCAAAGGTCTAGGACAGAGATGTTGAATGAGGGGTCCTCCAAGGGCTGGATACCAAATGTGGGTGGTAGTGTTTGGAGCAAGATGCAGTGTTTGAGGTGTACTGGAAAGTCCAGAGATATAACTGATGTGTTTTGTAGGTCTTCAAGCCTGCAAGAATTTAGGCTTACTTAGAGTTAGAGAGAACAGCCAGTGTGTGTGCTCCCCCTCCTTCCCCTTTCACTCTAGGAGACCCCTGTAAGCAACCTGTGTGTAGAGAGAAGTGAGAGTGACAAGGGGGTGTTTCTGTTGTGCTTGGCTGATGATGCGGTTGCCGTGGGCCATGCTTCCGCTGTTCTTTCTCTCTCCTCTGCTGTCCTTAGTTCCAAATCTTGAGGAAGCTGTCCCAGGAGCCAGTGGCAACAGCCATGCCATCTGCTGTAACGCCCAAGCAGCTCACTCTGTTGTCGTGGCCAGAAAGGATTCCTGATGGGAGAAGATGATGAGAAATCAGTAGAAGAAATAGGGCTGGGAGAAGGCAAAAGGCTTAACTGAGCTGAGTGCTTTCCCCACAGTCTGTGTACCCAGTCTCTTATGCATCATTCTGTTCCCGCAAAATGTGATTAGCAATCTGTACCTGGCTAATCAGAGCAAGTGTGCAGAAGAACATTTGTGCATGGTGTACAACTAGGGTATCTGGCCAAGGAGCAATGTTCTTAAGAAGGTCCAGCTAGAAGCATCCTCAATGCAAGAGATCGTTGCCAACTGTTTTCACCACGGAGCCATTGTAAGGCTAAGAAAGGAAGGTGTCCTTGACAAAACTAAAAGAGCAATGCTTTTGGAGATCAAATGTGGGCTGTGATAAGTTTTGGGGGATTAGGAGCCATGTCTGGAAGAAAGATAGTAACTAGGCGTATCCTTTGCATCAGAACATCCAAAGCTGCTGGATAGAAGCCCAGGTCCATGCTCAGCTTGGTGCCTGGCCACCGTGCAGCGCTGTAAGAATGTATGAAATAATACTGATGTTTGAGAGCAGTTTAGCTAAGAGGAATATTGACACTTTTCCCTTCTGAAAAACTTGTTTAAAGCCTTGACCTGATTAACATTAAAGCCAACATTCAGTAAGATAGTTTATTTATTATTTAAGCATAAGAAAGCACTGCTGAGTTTTGGTTGGTATAGGATGTGTCCCTTTCAGAAAAATTAGGGATACATTGCTTTTCCTTTCTTTGGTAGGGATAGAAGACCTCTGCAGAGAATGAAAGAAGTGCCTCCAGGAGCCACTCACCCACACGTTCTGCTTTCAGGGAGTCCCAGATGTTGCAATTGAAGTCATCATATCCAGCAAGCAAGAGGCGCCCGCTGCGGGAGAAGGCGACTGATGTGATTCCGCAGATGATGCTTTCGTGAGAGTACACTATGAGCTCCTGGTCTGCCCGGAGGTCAAAGAGGCGGCAGGTGGCATCATCTGAGCCAGTGCAGATGGCTTCGCCATTAGGGAAGAACTGTGAAGGGCACATCGGATTTTAATGAGGCTGTTTTTATGGATTTTCACCTCTCTGCTAACCATCAGGAAGCCACCTTCTCATAAGTGCTTCTTGGGTGTGTCCTGCCCCAGCCCCCAGAGCAAAAATCAAGCTACACGGGTGTGGCAGAAGAATAGCCACGTGTCAGGTGAGAGAAGCTGTACATTGCAGGAAGCCAGCAGACCCATTTAATTAGCAGAAAGAGATGACACTGTATACTGTTCTGTCACCTCTAAGGCTCTGGTTTGAATCCTTGCCTCTACGGTGGATACTTTCCCAGATCTCTCTGCTGCCTTACATAAAGAGTTCCTCTTCAGATAATCTTGTGATCCCAAGTTACCACCCGTACAAGCTGAAGACGAGACTTTCAGCTAAATTAGATATTCCAGCTACCTCACTTGTGTCTTCTGTCAAGGCTCCTAGATCATGCCGAAGCTGAGGTTCCCAACAGCTGGTACAAGCAAAGCAGCATAAACACGTGTTATCGTGCTGAGCTCCACAGATGACAGTGTACTGGCTGGGTCCAAGCCAGGTTTGAAGAATGGCAGGTGCTTTGGTGCCCCAGTGCCTGGGAAGAACCAGCCCCCAACCTGAACTCAAGCCCTCTTTGCTTCAGGCTGAATCCCAAGACCTTTGTTCCTCATGTGACTGACAGCCTCTCTCAACCTTGACCTGAGACTCTATTTCATTGCTGGCCCATCCTCTTTTTTCTTTTTTCCCCTCTACCACACAGATGGCATACATACGCAGATGGCATTGATGTCAGACTCATGCCCTGAGAATGTCTGGCGGCAGGTACCCTCCCGCACGTCCCACAGTTTGGCAGTGGCATCACAGGCTCCAGAGATGAACAGTTTGAAGTCTGGGGAAACTGCCAAGCTCATACAGTCTCCAGTGTGACCCAGGAAAACGGTCTTCTGCTGCCCTGTCTCAATGTCCCAGAGTGCACTGTGGAAGAGAGAACTCGTCAGAGCCAGACAAGGCCATACAGTGCTGTTAGCTGGCTTAAAGAGTTGTTCTGCTTGCAAGGAAAAGGAAGGAAGTCATGGGCCTGGCTACCACGTGAGATGAGTGGGAGTATAGACCCGTTTCACCGATAGACCTGTATCTTGACCCAACCTGCACAGGGAAAAACAGCAGCTGCAGAGCAATGAGTCTGGCTTCTTGAGTTGCTCTTTGTGGCCTTCAGGTAAAACATCCTTACATAAAGTGGAAAGAAAGATGCTGCAGAAAGAGCACCACTTGTTCAGCCATAAGAGCCAGAGGGGCTGCATAGAGTCTGCGCCTGAGATCACACACCACCATGAGGCAGAGCTCTCCCAAAATGCAGTATATGATGGGACCAGTGTGAGTTTTCAGTGCCTGTGGCTGCTCGTGTCAATAAGATACAGAGGATAACACTTACCACGTGGTATCTCCAGAGCTAGTCACAATATTGTTGTCATCAAGAAACCGGCAGCAGGAGAGGTAACCTGGGGAGCAGGAACCAACGAATATGAGATAGAGCAGGGCTAGAAGAGTGAGATTTGGAAGCAGAGGCACCCAGGCCGCTGACAGGCAGAACACCCACCTGTATGAGCTGAGAGTTCCCTGCTCACTTTGACATTGCCTTCACGCGTCTTGAGGTTGTAGATGGAGCACATGTTGTCAAGGCCCCCGCAGGCCACAAAATTACCTGAGGGTGCATAGGCACAGGTCATGACCCAGGAGGAACGCAAAGGGATGGCGTGAACCTGGGAGGACAAGAAACCATGTCTGGCCTCTGGCAGCAGAGGAGATGGGAGAGCAGGGCGAGGGCATCTGAAGGGTTCCAATCCCGCATCCCATCCCAGTTTTCTGCAACCACATAACTGTTACCTTGTTAGTTGTGTATGTGTCCCACACAATCAGTTTCCCATCTTGTGAGGCACTGACCAGTAGTCTGCAAGAAAGGAATAAGATTGTGTTAGTAGGTCTTTCTTTGCCAGAGCCTTCTTGCTCTCTATATCTACGTGCTGCCAGGCACCCAGCAGATCAGCAGCATCTTTCTCACTTGGAGTCTGTTGACCAGTGCATGGCGTAGATCTTGGCCAAGTGCCCACGCAGAGTCCTTCGGGTCCGCATCTGAATGCGGCCGACAACCTCCATTCCAGACACAATCTGAGGAAAGAGCAGGGGGAGGGAAAGAATTAATCTGGGACCAACAGGAGCTGTACTGCCTCCCTATCCCTGCTTCCTAATTGCTTCCAACCTGGAGAGTCCCCTTGGAAGTGATGCTAGCTGACCTCATGCATGTTAACCTGCCCAGTCAGTCCTGGCCCTTACCTGAGCAAGTGTTGTGTCTGCACAAGCTTTCCGGGCATCCTGGAGGAGAGACAAGAGTGGATGAGACAGAAAAAAAGGTGTGTGACGGAGGCAACAGCAAGTAAAATTCAGAGGCCTTCCCTACAGTCTCATTTAAAATGGATAGGAGTTTTGCTTAGTTTGTATTGTACCCAGCACAGGGAGTTCCTGTTCTGTGATAAGGGCTGCTCAGCACCAGTCAAACAAGCAGTAGAGAGGTGAGTCTAAGGCTGCCCAGTTCCCCATGCAACACCTTTTCCATGAATCCTCCAGCCTGACAGAACACCAGCTGCCCCCACAGACAGAGGTCTGGAGATGAATTAGTCTTTGCCCATCTGCAGTCATGATGTCAGTGTCCATTCCATTCTTCCCCTTGTTGTCTACTTTTCCTTCCAATCCCTCCCACCATACTAGGAAGATCTCCATTAGTACATAGAGGGCTGTGCGGTGTTGCAGAAGGCTCCAAGGATGTACTTGGAGAAAGCTCAGCTCCAAGTTGGAGACTTAGACACAAGGGGTAGACACTCTGCCAGCAGTTTCATGACTATTGCCAGCGTTACCGCAATCTGCTTCTTCAGCTGCTCAGCCTCCTGCTTCATCTGTTCCATTTCTCCCATCTTTCTGAGCTAGAGGTGGCTTTTCCACGTGGGCAACCTTGAATCTGGGAAGACAAATTAAGGGAGAGAGATGTGAAGTAGAAAGGCCAACAATAAGACTGCTCAGTTATGGAAATGCAGGTGTCTCTGATAAAGGCTGGTTTTTGGTTGAACGACTGAAATGTCTCACTGTACCCAGTCAATGCCCTTAGCGTTTGGGAAGGTCATGCTAGACCTCATCAAACATCCTTTTGATCTTGTGTCCTGCTTACATGAACACTGAGAAGCTGAAGAACTGCTTGCTGAAGTTCTGCTGCACTTGCATCAACAGGCAGTGCTCACCAGTCCTCCATCAAGGAAACTGAGGGATTGCTCTAACGAAGTTCCTTTCTAGTTTAAATAAAATAAAACTAATAAATAAATAAATAAATAAATAAATAAATAAATAAATAAATAAAT